AAAAAATATCCGTATAAGTGGATTCATGTGGTTGAACTTTTACGGATCGATGACATCAAACCGCAGCTCGCGCATGTGAATTAAAAAGAAAAACAACAACAACGATGGCGGACATACAGGGTATTCTTTACGTTTGTTTTGCCCTTTTGGGGCTAATTTCATTCTTGCAAGTGAACCTTGTTCTATACTACTACATCCACCAGTCAGCCAGCTCACAGAGGCGTCTGCTTTGTTATAGCCGCCACACCGTCACATGGACCCGACGCACTAGCGTAGCCTCCGCAAACAATGCCAATCAGGGAGCTTTGTTCCTGAATTTTTTTTTTAAAGCGGCACCAGATAAGATTGAGTTTGATATTTTTGAGAACTAACACGTGTGGACAGATACAAAGTACAAAAATATCCTGATAAATAAATATCTATATACATGTAGTCCGGGCCAGAGAGAAAACTCCATCAATAACAGACAGAAATACAAGCAAAAGTAAAAGTATCTGACATTGAAGTATTAGTGCCAGTGGTGCAAACCTTCAATTTCTCTTCATTTCAAATCAAAGAAAACAAACAAAATACATAAAAACTGTGAGAAGAAAGAAAAATAAGAAACTCTTTGGATTCATTTTCAGCGGGTTGTGTTCAGTTGTAGTGAGGGGGAGTCGCTCATGCCTGTCGCTGCCTAAAAACTAAACTTCTCAAACTTTTTCTGATCTATACTGAACTGAAACATGATCATCTGTACTGAACACTCCTGAATTCATCCAATTTTGATCATATAGCTGCAAAAGGGTGAAAATGCAAAATCAAGGAAGTCACAGCAGGTCGTTGAAATCATGAAGTCTGAATTAAAGTTGAGGGGGAAGCAAAGGTGTCAAAAACAGAGCTGATAGTTCACACTCTGTGCACATGTGGTCGGAGTTTGTCTCGTCTGTCGCTGATGTTTTCAAATCAACAATAAAATGACCGTTTCAATTCGAGCACAAACACGTCTGTGGGGATCTGATGGTTTTCACACCCAGCAGTTCACGTGAGCATCACGGTGTGGTTAGAAATACAGAATGGAAACTGTTCAGGTCAAGTAAAGTGCATCGTATTTTTAATGTGGACTCTCAAAGTTTCTTCAGATGTCACTAAACTTGATGGTTTGGTTATTGAGATGAAATTGACTGAGAGACATCTGTTTCCTCTTCATGCACTGATCATGTCTGAATCTCTGTCCCTGAAATTTCACAAAAAAAGTTGAGATTCAAAGCTTTACTCAAAGACAACACAGCGGGAATTACACCGACTGAACAGAGCACACAAAACAGAGATAGATGAGCACTTCTCAGGCCTCGTCTTTATCTAATTTCAACACCACAGAACAGACTGAAAGCGCCAAAATGCACAAGCCAAAAAACCACCAAATGTACAAGTTCAGCCACCAAACCACTGTAAATGTCGCACATGCGCAGCAGCCGCACAAAAGGCAGATAAACCAACCAGCAGAAGCCAAGCAAGCATGCTAACAGGAAGCCATTTTCATTTCCAAGCTGCACAGACAGACAACAGCATTTAGGACCAACAATTCAGCAAAAGGAGGACTTAGCTTTGTTGAAGTGAAGCGGTGAGGTCTGGATTCAGTCCTGGAGGAGTCTCAGTTACAAATCCACATGAGGGCTTCAGGTTCCACCTCCATTCATGGCTTGGTTTGAGGCCTACAGCTGAGTAGACCAACAGTTTGGTTGAGTATGCAGTGAACAGACTGAAACTGTGTTTTCTCACGCTGGGCCGATCTTCAGCAGCACGATCGCTTTAGAAGATCCCTGCTGTGGTGATAAATATGAAACTGATGCCAAATGCAGCAAGATTTGATAAACAGCAAGGAAGGAGTGCTCAGCAACAGTGATTCAGAGCTTCAAAGTGGGCGGGGCTTCAACAGCTTTTAAACCTTGCCTTATAAGGAAAGGTGTGTCTGATTTAAAGGGGTATTCTGGCGTAAAATTAAGTTAAAGTCAAACACAGAGTAACACCGAGTTAGACAACCCGTCGAGAGATGAATGTTATCGACCGCTTGTTTCTTGAGTTAAACCAACTTCAGTAACAACTATATGTCCTGTTGATGAAGTTAGGTGCTGTTCTGAGCATTATTTGTGGCTATAGACCTCTTACTTCCCCCCCATTTTATGTCTCTGGAAACACCGGGGGGCAACCCAACCCTCCCGGCCCTGGTTCCCCAGGATTTGAGGATCTCACTTGTGCTGAGCGGGTTTCGAACCAGGAGCCGGTCATCAACCAGACCACATGGCTCACAGTAGGGTGTTAGTTGTCTACCACGCTGCGCCACAGGATACATCCACATTTGAGCCCCTGAGGAGTGCCGGTCAGTGTTCTTATCCTCTGAGCCACTTGGACACACAAGACAATCATGTTTTTTTCATATATCAGTGTACTTTGTGGACTCTAGACCTTCAAAATTCACCTAGAAGTGGGCAAGGTAAGACTCGAACCTACGACCTCAGAAGTGCCGCTCAGTGTTCTTATCCTCTGAGCCACGTGGACACACAGGATTAGACCATTTGCTTCCTCTTTCACTTTCCTGTCTAGACTTCAGGATAACCCGAGGTACACGTGTGAGAAACGTTATAGTTTGATGAGATTCTTTAGACGACTTTTGAGTCAATCAACAACACTGTCGGCCATTTTCAATTTAGTCAATGACTCACTTCCTGTTTCAGATTATTTTGGGTCCCCCTTCTAGGATGTATTAGGATGACCCTAGGGACATATGTGCCAAATAGTCTGCTCCTCTGAGATTCAATAGGCTATTTGAATCAATTGGCAACTCTTTAGGCGGCCATTTTGAATTTCGTCATTAATCCACTTCCTGTTTTTGGCCACTATATCTAGGACGTCTCAGGATGACCCAAACTTTATGATTTTTGGACATTCTTCAGGTGTTTTTTGAGTAAACTGTCACCTGTTTAAGCGGCCATTTTGAATTTTGTCAATAACTCACTTCCTGTTTGACATTTTTTTGGGTCCCCCTTCTAGGATGTTTTGGGATGACCTAAGGGACATACATGCCAAATTTCATGCTTTTATCCACCGTGTAACAGACCTAACAGACGCTACTATTACAAGTATCCAGCAAGCAGAGGACTGGCCGGGTCTCGTGTATCAAACATCCTCACCAGACTTCATTCAGGGGTCTTTCATTCGTCCAGTTTGCATCCCAAACCAGGTCTCTAGGTCACTGCTCTTTTCATACAGCCCCACAGTGTCAGCCAAAACCTCGGTGAGAAATATCAAGTCCTGAAAATTTTCCAAGTCCTTGGAAAGTCCTTCCAAAAGTAGACCCAGTGACACTGTAATGATTAACATCTTTCCATGACATGGGTTTGGGTGAGTGAAAATTATCTGATGATGTATTGATATCTAACTATCACACTCTGTCAAGGAACTCTCCCTTATCACCCACTGAAAGCTTGCACCATGAGTCAGACTGCGTTTTCAACAGAGAGCTGCTTGAGCCAGTCAAAGGGACCGTGAAGCAAAACACAGTATGAGATTTTTATTTATACGGGGTTCAGATTTAGAGCCGAGTTTGACCACAATCCTGAACAAAACAGATCATTTGTTTATAGATTAAATACTAAACTAAGGCCAAGGTTTTGTTTTTAGTTTTCCCACTGAGGCCCGACATGTAGTGGGCCAGTTGGGCCAATGACGATTTATGCACCCGGTTCCCAAAGGCGGACACAGTTAATCAAAATAATTAAATTCTGTCAACTTTTAAACTTTTAAACCAAAGACTGTGATCTGTTAAAACTTGTTCAAAATTTACATAAGTTAGCATCAACTTTGACGTTAAAATGACTTTACATCTGCAAAGGTCCTGTGATCTTGCTCAAGTTGTTTGTGATCCATCTTATTTGTAAGAGCATTTGGATCCATCTTCTTACTTGTATAAACAAAGTTTTTCAATTAACAACAAACAATCAATCAATCAATCAATCAATCAGTCTTTATTTATATACATACACAACCATGTAGCACAAAGATCTTTACACAGAATAAAAGAAACAAAGAAAACCCGACTCTACCCCAACCCAACCCCTCATTCCCACCCCACGATCTAAACGCAACAGAAACAAAGTGGGTGATGGGTTTGCTCCCCTGTTCCGCTGTGTTTAGTGAATATCATTCTCCAAACAAATAAAGGAAAATTCCCACAACATCAACCTTCTTAATATCCCACTGTGAGTGTAGGTCTACTTGATAAACGTAAGGTAAGGCAAGTTTATTTGTATAGCAACATTCATACACAATGCAAATCAAAGTGCTTTACAGATGCAAGGAAATACATACAAATTTTAAAAAGGAGAGATTAGAACGATTTAAAATCAATAAGACACAGATAGATTTTTTTGTCTGTTCCATATTTGCCGTGAACATCATGAAAACCATTGTTTCCCAGAAAAAAATGAAATAAGTCACAGGCTTTCAGACCCGGTTGGTTTCTCTTCGTCGATCTCGGACGGTTAGTTGTTCTAGTTTTCTCTTCTTTTAGGTGGAGCCCATTATTCCATAAACTTGACTTTGTTATCAGGGAAATTTGGCATTAAGTGGAAACCTTTTGTTTTAAGAAATGAATCCAGTGTTTAAAAATTGCAGTTCCCGGAGTGTCCACTTGGGGCTGGCTCCAAATGCACCAGAAGCCACATACACACCCATTCAACAACCTAATCTCTAAAGCAGAAATATACATATAAAAAAAATAACAGATTGGTGTCAAAAGCTTATCTCTCTATCCTCACACACTTTCTCCAACACATCGGTTTTGACGACATTGAGGATTTGGGACGCGGCTGAGTCAACTGGCACGGCACACTGCAGCTGTTGGTGAGGAGGCTGAAGGCCTGGCTCGACTCCATCAGACACTTGTTAGCCTGACTGAAAGTTGGGTTGAGTCAGCACTTCTAATATGACGACCGTCATAGATCGGCCTTCAAACTCCACCCCAGAAAACAGAAAAATGGTCGACATCATTCAGACAAAGTCAGTGTTTCATACAGTCGATATAAAGACAGTTTCTGACGACCACAATCTAGTGTAACTATCAACAAGTCCAGGCTTCTATGTAGACTTTTCCAATGGCACATTTTGTGTTTGTACTCCTGACCACAGCTCTGGATTGACAGCTCCAGTATCACTTGAAGTGCATCAATCTAGACCGCTGGCATCCTGAAATACACCTGTAAGTGACCGGGATACTTCTGCTTCAACAAGTTCAAGGAATAAGAAATCACCTTCGCTGCTTGATGACTCTGTTTTCTGTCTTACTGCAATTTCTGGAACATATAGAAAACTAAATGTTTCAAACTGAGTGCAAAAAGTTTGTTCTGCAACTTTTCGCATCCTTGAAATTTAGACTCAGCATGCAGAAACCTTGAGTCCAACATTTCCAAAACATTTTCCCCATCATTTTTCTGCGAGTTTGTTTAGACGGTGATAAATTATTGGTTTTCTTTTCTCGTTCAATAAAGATTTATTGGAAAAAAGCAGTAGGGGGTGGTTGGGGTGGGCTGCAGGGTGGAGGATGTGGTTCGGGGGGTGAAAGGAAACACCGTGGTGTTGATCTCCTGGAATGCGGCATGCCAGAAAGCTGGCTCGACTGGCACCAAACCAAATGCCTTCAGCCCCCCCGGCAGCACTCTCACTCTCCCTCTCCTGGGCATCATGTCCCCGTCCAACTCCCCCTTCCTCCCCTCGCTTCTCTCCCTCTCTTTCTCTCTCTCTCTCTCCCACAGCCCGTGAAACAGGAGAGCCGCCATCTCCGCTTCCTCCAAAAGGATCAGCGATCATTCTGGCCAGGCCTCCGGACAGACAGCATTCCTTCCCCCTGCTGCTGCTGCTGTTGCTGGCCGGCTGTTGCAGCGGGCATCCAGAATAGATCTCTGACGTCCGCCTGGTTACTAGAATACGCCAATGTCCCGAGAATCAAAGGAACACGGAGGAAAGACACATGCTGGTGGGCAGGAGATAAAGATGAGCGAACTGAGGAGATCCAGACCCAAAGCTGTTTTTTTTTTTTTTCAGAGAAAGCTGACGTAACGGTGAAGCGGTCTAGGGTGGCTACATCCCATAGATTCAGAGCCCTCGTGATGAGTGCGGGTGGAGCGGCTGTGGTCCAAACTGTGACCGGGCTATAACCCCTCATGCTAATTGCCCGTATCAATAATATCAATACAAACAGAGCACCACAACAACAGTTGAACCACCATAGTTCAGAGTCCTCCGCAGCTCCACATGGATGTTGGACGGTCTCTTTACAGGGACAAAGGTCAGACTGAAGCACTGTGAGATTCCTCCATTTGAGTTCAGTCTGAAATATCTCAACTATCACAGGGTGGATTGGAGTGAAATCTGGTGCATAAATCCACCATTTCTACAGGATGAACAGACGTGACTTTGGTGGAGCTGAGAGCTTTTATCATGAATCAGCAGAAGTCCAAAGATTAACCTTTCAAACATGACGGTAGTTATCATCCATTTTCTTCAGTTTACCCAGGATCGGATCACAGAAGTCAAAGCAAGTCCACCCAGACCTCTCCTCTCTCCCTCTCCTCAGCAATCCTTTCCAACTCTTCCTCAAGGATCCTGAAGCATTTCCAGGCCTGGCCTCTCCAGGAAGCTCCAGGCCTACCTTCAGGTCTCCTCCAGGTTGGACATACCTCCAAGGAGAGGTTTTCTGCAGCCATCCTTATCAAACATCTGTCTCTAAGACTGATCCGTGACGTTGAGTGTTTTCTCACCTGAGGCTGAGATGTTGATGATGTTTGGTCCCTGAGCACAAGACGACAGAAACTGGAACTTTACACCTTTTGCACATTTATTCACAGTTCAGATAGTTTGAAAGACTTAAAAACTGTTAGACAATAAAGATTAACATCAGTATCTTGGGATGGCCGGTGTAGGTACCAGATATGTTCGAGCTGCCAGATCTGCTCGGGGCCCGGCGTCTACCGATGGATGTGGAGGATGTGGATGATCGTGGTTGGTCTGGACATTACTAAAACTGTTTTCATTGGATTAGGTTTAATGGGATCGTAGTTCTTTGGAGAAAACATGGACGAATTTTACGAAGCAATCTATCTCTAGTTATTGAAGGGGATTTACGACAGCTGGACTACCGCCTCTTTTAGGACGCCAAAGGAAATGTGGAATAAAAACAAAACTGTCTATTGATAAAAGTAGACCCTGCGTACATTTATTTACTTTTTCCTTTAGAAAAGTTAAGATATACAATCAAAATCATCTAAAAATTACAGTAGAGTAAGTTGTTATTCTCTGTATCATATGGAGAGAAAATTTTGAGGTCAATTGAACGAAGAAACGGACATAAAGAAAACAACGAGCGCTTTTAACCAAGTTTGATTTATTAAATGGAGCAGAATGTAGTTTTTCTGAGTGGACTTTACCGTAGTGTGACGTCTTCAAAGGACGCTGGGCCCCGAACACATCTGGTTCCTACACCAGTTAAATTCTGCAGGCTACAGATTAAATGTATAACATTATATTAGCATTAGCGCTGTGAGGATTAGTTATCATGCTAACAGCAGTGCAATCAGAAGACCACAATCTCTTGGGCTCAGTCTGATATCACACTAATGTTTCCAACACTTACAAATATTCAACATTACTGTCTCCACACACAACGCGCGAATAAATTACATGTTAAGTCAATGCAAAGATGCGATTAGACGCTCCTACTACTCTGAGCTGAAAATGTCTCAACTTGAGCAGATATTAGTTGCCAGGTGACATATGAAAATGGACGGTTGTTCACTGGCATCTGAAATGAAGGACAAACTGATCGTGTCAGGGTGTGTGTGCCCTGAATTATATGAAACCTTTTCTTTCAGTTAAGTGAGTGAGGGGGTCGGATTACCTGGTGAATTGTAAAAAACCTTCGTCTATCACTTATTCCCGCCGGTTGAATTAGCAGGGATTACCGCTGACGCGCAAATGAAGCGAGTAAATACTTTTCATTCATGCGTCTAGATTAGTAGATGATTTTACTCGCACTTGGTGTGAACAGCCCGTTAGGGTTTACACTGAAAAACATACATTTTTACATTTTTTAAAGTGACAGCACATAGTGTTCAATTCTTAGAAACTACAGCAGTTTCTATTCCAGGAATCCTTGAGGTCAAATTTCATCTGTGGAAGATTAATTCAGAGTTCAACATTCAGACGCTCTGAGAACTGAAAACCAAAAGATGTCTTGGTTTTCCTGAACAAACTTTTAAAAGGCTGGGGAGGAAACGAGGAGGGGTCCGGCGGTGCTTGACATGGTTGTCACTTTAGCTGGCGTCTGCCTGCATGATTCATGTTGACTGAAGCCCTGCGTTTGTCAGGGGAGGTGTCTGCAGTAAAAGTGCCACAGCCCTCCAGATTGACACTCATTAGTGAGGGGCTCCGAGGCAGAGGGGGGGGCCCGCCTGGACAAGAGGGCAGCGAGGAGGGCGAGAGGCCACATCCCACTAAAAATAAATGATTTCTAATGATTGATACAGATAACAGTGGACTGATCGGGACGCATGAATCAGAGGACTTAGGTGGCGGCGATGGCGGGCAAGACCTCTGGTTGGCATGTTGTTGTCAGACGAAACGGCGCTCAGAGCCACTGTGTCCTGATAAACGTGTCTGGATTGAATCCCAACACACACACACACACACACACACAAGAAGTACACCACCACCTCAGTACCACCAGTCCACCTCCCCCTCCTCTTCCTCCACCTCCTCATCCTTATCCGCCCTCACTCGTTGTGTTTGACCACCTCTAGCAGCGCCTCTCTGCCTCCTGCCACTCATACCACACACACACATGAACACACACATAAACACACACCATGCACAAATGCCAGCGCTCACCCAGGAGCAACAGAAACACACACACACTCACACACACACACTCTCAGAGTCTTAGCCTCTTCTGCTTCAACCCTGCTGCACTTTCCACGGCCTCACATGCCCCAGAACAGCGTGTCCATCTCTGTGTTTGTGTACCAAATCCCCGGCTCAGGTCGTTCATCGCACATGTCTCCAGCTGCCAATCATTCAATCAATCCCGGCTTCATTACGGTGATTGTAATATCAAAGCCTGCAGCGTCGAGCTCGCAGGATGTTAGGAAGAAGCAAAGGGGGCAGGATTATTTTGATACAGCGCTCAGATCAGATTTCCTTCAAAAGTCATGTTCTGCTGCTGAACCTTCTCGGGCGCCGCTCTTCAAACGGGGAGTGAGGGTGAACCAAAGATCCAAAGTTTTACTCTCAGCTTTGAAAATAGTGTGAAAATATAAATATTAGTGTTGTAGTTTCCCTGAATCTGGATGTTAATCAAAGTGTTTTGGTCTACAGTATGACTTTTTTATTATTATGATGAAAGAAGGTGAAAAGTATGGTGGCCGAGAACTGCCACTGCTGCAAATAAATGAAAGAATGCAAAAAAAAAAAATGTCACAACGGAAGTTAACGATGCAAAAAAGAAAAAAATTATTTACTGCAACAGAAATAAATAATGACGATACATCGGTGTTTTACGATGTAGGCACAGAAGGTGACGGTGAGAAGACGAGCAAAGGAGTAAGTTTTCTGTACCTAGATCGTAAAAAAAACGGTGTATCGTCATTATTGGTCCCCAGCAGCTCAATTACTTTGTGGCTTTTTTTATTTGCAACCTTTTATTTTCACAGGAAGTAACTTTTTTTTTGCATCGCCACTTTTTCTGTGTCCTCAAGTTCAGTTTTTTTTTTTTTTTTTAAATCTGCATTGTTTCTTTTTTTTTTTATTTGCAGCGGGCTTTGTTTTTTTTTTATTTTTTTACTTTTATTTTTTTGCATCGGTAACTTCCGTTGTGGCTTCTTTTTTTTAAATGCAGCAGTGGCGGTTCTTCTTGGCCACCATAAGGAAAAGAAAAAAAAACCTGACAATAGAGTAGATGTAAGAAAAAAAAAACAATTAAAGCTCCTGTAGGGAACTTTTCTTTGGCTTTAAATCATTTTAAATGACATTTCAGCAGCCTGTCTTAAATTCCTTATTTGCTGTATAGAGATGACAAAAAAAAAAAACAAACGTCACCTCTTTGATAGTCTTGTTTGCTTTTGTGGGTCATATAGAGAATTTAATATCAGTCTCTGCAAACTCAACACAGGAGCTTTAATGATGTAAATTAAATCCAGCATTAGCAAGTTATCATCTGTGATCACAGAGCTGATTATTTTCCAATTTTTTACTTGTTACGAATGAATAATCGTGTTTTTTAATCGTGATTTCAATATCAGTCAAAAATAATCACGATTGTTATTTCTGCCATAATCATCCATCATATCTAAAAATGGCGGCTAATCTGGCTCCAAAAATCGACATTTTAACATGGATGATAACGGCGCTTTCTTGGCTTTTGTAGCTAGCCCCAAGTGGACGCCGGAGGAACTGCAGTTTCGGGCACTTCAGGAATTTGCCGCGTGGTTAGAACAGGCAGGCGAGGATAATCTGACAAACCAGTGTCAGCTCTGTCAGCAGGGTTGTACCACAGCGACCTCTGACCTTCAGAACCTCTCTCTACTCTCTGCAGGAGGAAAAGAAAAATAAAACTGGAGGATAAACTGTCACGATCTTCTCTCTGCCCTCCATCATCCCCGCTAAAGCAACTTTTCCAGTTGGGTTTCTTCAGGGAAGCAACTAAAGATACCAAGAACCCGGCAGACGAGGAAGAGGGTCAGAGGAAGACAGGCGGCCAAGTGGGTCAGTGAGAGAGCGAGGACGAAAGAGTCAGTCTGAGGGAGGCCGAAGTATGGCAGCTCACAGCAGAAGTAGTTAGTAGAAACAGCCGATCAGTTTCGGATTCTCATATTCCCGCCGGCTCCTCATGAAAATCCTCCAAATTCCTGAAGTTCGGTGACCATAACTCTCAGAGCTGTGAGGACATTTATCAAGTGTCAGTGTGGGATTAAGAGGGCAGGGCGGACAATGACAATACAGGAACCGTGTGAGGTGCCTACATGCCCTGAACGTCTATATGAGCCGATCAATTATTGAACAAACAGGCCGTACCTTTGTCTGGATGGGTGACTCGGACTCATGGAAACCCTTGGCTGAATTGATAGCACCTGACACCTTGTCCTGCAGGATTTACAGCCTCATAATTAGGTTTAAGAACAAACCCCCGATCCACGGAGTCAGCTGGTGCTCAGCTGCTTCTGTGGATGAACAAAGACAACAGAGATTGATACTGCAGGAAAAAACACACTGTATTCCTCCGTGCCCTGAATAACTTGATCGAGTCATGTAATCAGACTGAAATAAACTCAGAGTAATGTCATCGTTAGTCACCATCAAGGACTCCTCAGAGTTTGATTAAGACTTCTTCAAGCTTTTTGAAAACTTTGTTGAATTTAAGGGTACAGGACGGAGAAGATTAGTTTATAATCACCTGAAATAAACCCAGTTTTTTTTTTAAATAAAGTTAAAATTAGTCTTTTGGTAACACTTATACACAATAACCATAACTTATAAATGGTAAATAGACCATTTATAGACCATTACAATTTTAAAAATCTCACCCCAACTTTACAATCACCATCTCAGTTATGTTTATAGATGGTTTAAAAAACAAATAATCATCATTTACAAAGTGCTACTGACACACATTTTAATCCAGATGTTTTACAACCAATATTTAAACCTTTAATAAACAGTCCATTAATAATTCATGAAAATTATTTATCATAATTTCATTGCTTGCTTACTTATATTAATAAACTTTATATTTGCCATCTACAATTGGTCTATATGCTGTTTTTAAATCATGATTAAACATTAACAAACTCTCTATTTACCATTAATAAATTATGGTTATTATAAAGTGTTACCAGTCTTGGTAACACTTTATAATCACTATCCATTACAACTAGTTAATAGATCATTAGTAAACAGTTGATTAATGAGTTATTAATGGCTTGTTGAGTGTTTGTCAAGAGTTTAAGGACTTATAATGATGCCTTATAGATAGTTAATATATCATATCATATATATCATATAAACTGTTAGTTAATGAGTTACAAATGACCTGTAAACTGTATGTTAATGATTAATTACTATACCTTATAAATTAGTAATAGATCATGAACAAGCCGTTAGTAAATTACTTACTTGGGTTATTTGGTCATAATAATTGGGACGTTTTTCTAAAGTTGCAACTATTCCTCATTTACTAACTGTTGCAACTTTAGAATACCATCCAAATGATATATAAACTATTAACTGATACTTAACAAGTCATTCCTAAGTAATTTACTAATGGCTTGTTCATGATCTATTACTAATTTATATAAGTAATAAATCATTAACATACAGTTAACAAGTCATTTGTTACTTACAGTAACTAACAGTTTATATGATATATTAACTATCTATAAGGCATTATTATAAGTCCTTAAACTGTTAAACACTTTCAAAGTTTCAAAGATCAGACCGGTTATTTTGAGAGACAAAAAGACTGAGATGGTATCAGATTTTGTTATCTGTATGTTTAAAATCTTTACTCTGTTTCCAAGCTGCAGCTCCATATTTCACACAAACACATGAGCGTTTCCAGATCTATGGATTATAATCTTACAGTTAAATGTTCTCCTGTTTATGTCCTTCTCTTACATTTTATTCCAGTCTCAGTGAAAAGCGTCTGAGCGGCACACAGTCATTGTCAAACTCAGTCTCACTCTGATAATCTCTCTCTCCCTCTCGCTCACATGCAAACACATACTATCAGAACCAGGCAACATGCCAAGAACATACTCTGGGCTGAAGGCCAATCGAAACACAACCCCGCAGCTACAACCGCTCATTCACAATTTCAGTCAAAGGAAATCTCCACGATGAAACTAAATAATTGAATATCAGAAAAGTCCGCTTGGGTTCCCATAATGCTCTGGGAATCTCTGAGAGAAGCTGCTCGCCGTGGACCAGCTGACCCTGACAGTAGCACTTAGGATAGCAGGGTCAGTGTGAACCTGACAAGGGTGATGATTTCTTAATGTAGTGAGAGGGCAAGTGGACGGCGGTGGAGGTGGGGGGTCAGTCTGAGTGCGTGGTAACTGTAAGATAGGGGTGTGTGTGTGTGTGGGTGTGTGTGTGTGTGTCGGGGGGTATGGTGCCTGTAAGGGAAGCCTGTCGATGTTTGGGGTGGAGGAGGGTTGAAGATGGGAGGTGTTCTGTGTTCGTGGAGCAGGCTGGAGCAGGAATGTGTGGAAGTGCACAGCTGCCCTGTTTTGTCATCGCGCTGCACTGTGCTGTCTGTCTGAGTAATATAAAGCTGCCAGTGTTGTGTGTACATGTGCAGGACCTCCCAGAGATCTGCAGGCCCCAGATGCACAGATGAGGCCGGGCTTGAAATCAGGACCAGCCATCAGTGAAATACTATTTCATTATTGTAGCTGTGGGTCATGATCGATCAGGTGCATCCCTGTTTTAATACATACGTTTTTATGTCTTTGGGATGACAGCGGTCACAACATCACTTCATAAACAAAGGCCAGGACAAGCTGGATTTGTGTCTCAAGTGTGACTGAATCCTCAGCAGCTACTGCAGCGATAGCTAACATATAATGAGGAGCCAATGTGGGCTGATCTAAAATGGGATTATGGAATAACACCCACAAGCAGTTTCCGACTAAAGTGACCGAAACAGAGCGTCTCAGGCAGAGGCTAAAAAGTGGTAAAATTAGGGCTGAGCGATAAACCGAAAATTTACTGATACCGAAATTTACAACAATAACCAACGTCATTTTGCCCGTATCGGTATATTCAGTGTCAAGAAAATAAATAAATCAAAGTTGGTTTTGGATGTGTGTAGGTAGGCTATAGTCTCATGTCCCTTTAAGACGCTGTCCTACATCAGAGACGTGACTCCACCCCATCTACTCCATAACAAAGAGGGACAGACAGGTGAGGAGATGGAGGACGGAGAGAAAGTTGGAGCGACTGAAGTAGACGAAGTTAATGTGGGTGGAGGTGAGCAGTTCGTGGAGAAGTTATCGTCCTTTTATCATTATTGAGGTGAACTGATCAATATATCGTGATATTGATTTGAGGCCATATCGCCCAGCCCTCGCCACAGCATCACCATTTTGTAAACAAAGGACAGTACAAGCTGTATTTGTGTCTCAAGTGTTTTTGATGGGATGTTTCGTCTCAAATAAGACCCAAAACTACAAAATGAAAGTCATATTTTAACAGCAGCTGATGCAACAGTAGATAACTTATAATGAGGAGATAATGTAGGCTGATCTAAAATGTGATTTCCTGTTTATGAAGTAACACCAAGAAGCAGTTTCCAACTTTATGTCACTAAAGTATTTTATTATCCACAGATTTTCTCTCCCTCGTTTTGTGGCTTTAGTTCGATGGTCTTACTCCTGTTTTCAGGTTCCTACACAGTTACATTTTTCCCACTTTTCCATCCCCTACTTTTTAGATTTATTTTTGGAAATACCAACTTTTCTATTTTAGTAAACAGTATTTCTAGAACTGTGGTAATAGTCTGGAAACATAAATACTTTTCCATACTTTATTTTTCATTTTCTTTAAGTTTTGAGACCTGGAATAGGATCAAATTTATTTCCATACGTTTCCAAACTTGCACAGGAACCCTGTGTTTTGCTGTTTTGTAGTTAATAAATGCATCTTTGTACTGAAAATACACATTCAGGTTCAGTGTTCATTTTGACAGCTGTCAGTCTCAGTGAATCAAAACGACTCTTAGTTGGGTCACATTTCAGTCTTTTCCCCCTTTTATAGTTTCAGTCTAATCATCAACTGCAACTACTAAAAGAATTCCAGTCTAGTTTAAGTTCATTAAAACGGCCCGGCCCTTTACAATTAGAGACAAATTACAAACTATTCCAACATCTCTCTACTTGGAGAAATTCACAGTTTTGACACAGAGCTGTGAAACTCAATAGCACTTTAAAAACGTGTGTTTAAATCTTCGTTGTCTGGACTGTCATAATTTAAAAAGGGTTTTAATGAGTATATATTTCATTGTCATATTTTCTGTATCACTCTTAAACAAGCTGTCGTAAAGACCTTGACAGTCTAGAGGCTGCGTTTTGGAAAAGTCAAGCTCCTGTGATTTTTACTTATGGAGCACTTCAGCAGTTCGTCATGCATGAGCTGTTTGATTTTGACCACAATGAATCCCAAACAAATCTGCGGAGTGACTCAAACTGATAAAAATCCCCTGATATGAATAATTAAAACCTATTTATGACGAAACATTTTTTTATTTACCCCAGATATGATTAGGAGTTCAGGAGAGTAACAGCAACTGAAGTAAAAATAATCTGCTCTTTGACTTCCTGTCGTGTAAAAAATAAGTTTGTGATCATCTGATACTGCTTCAGAATCACCGACCGCAGTTTTCAAGAGGACTAATAAGAATGAAAGTCAAAGGGAAAATTCTGACTGATGCAAAATATGATTCTTTAGCCCATGATTTGTGTTTTTCACTCAAACACCTCACCGTGAGTCAGACTCAGTCAGGCCTAAAGATGTTTCTTAGGGACAGTAGATTCCAACTATTAGGGTTTTAATTCTGTATGTGGCGTATTAACCTGTTTTATTGTTCATCTGATAATACATCAGCGTCACACTGATGGATCCAAAGTCAGCGTACAGTGATGAAGTCGTGCGTTGACCTTGATTACTCTATTAATTCGATCTCCGTTCTAACAGTTTGATATCTTCCTGCTTTAAAGGTCGCATGTGCAACTCTGGATTGTCAGCACCCCGCTGTGTACACGTCCCCTCTCGGTGTTAATGGGGGTGAGCGAGGGTTCAGAGGCCAACGGGAGAGTGCACACCGTCCCATTACTCTCCCACCACCTCTTAAACAAGCTCTTTTAGAAAGTGGGAAATGTCTGAGGGGGTCACACCAGCATGTGCCAACGAAGGAGTCCGTGAACTCCTCCAGGGACCAGGAAGGCGGCGCCCGAGTGAATTGTATTTTTCTGTTCATATAAATTCAAGAGATCATAAACTTTTATCTATTTCTGTTTGTTCAGGCATCCCTGATAAGCATGCGACCGTTTCCAAACACACAGCTTTATGTTCTTTATGATGGATTGTCATCTGAGCCCTGACAGTACAGCTGCAGGTCTAGTGTTGCCCCTGCGATGGCCGGGACGTCTGACAGGACAGAAACCCTCCCCAGCATTGATTACCAGCTAATTTTAGGCGAAGGAAGTGGCAGCTTGTTTGTTTCTGGGTTGCTGAGGAATACATTTGCACTTCAGCGAGAGTTCATGAGCTATCGGGTGTGAATTCCGCTGAGCAATAAGTGCCATCTTTTTTATCTCACTCTGTCTGGAGCCGCGAGATCTCTCCATTCTCTCTTTCCTCACTTAATTCCACCACCCTCTGTTTTCACAGCCTCTGTGGGTGGTGCCTCCTGAAGCCCTCTTTCACACCCCGTGAGGAGATTTGAA